GTTGGGACTCCAGATGAGATGAAGATGCTGTCCCTACTATCTCTTCTGCCTTGTATCCTTCTTCTTTTAAGATCTTACTTATTTGTCATATTTGTCACAGACAGAAAGGGTGAGAGAGCACAAGCAGCAGGAGCAGCAGGCAGAAGGAGAAGCAGGCTCCTGCTGAGCAAAGAGCCTGATGCAGAACTTGATCCCAGGACCCTAGGATCATGACCTGAGCCTAAGGCAGACGCTGGACCCACTGAGCCCACTGAGCCACCCAGGCATCCCTGCCTTATATCCTTTAACACTCACTAAACATAATATCAAAGCCTATTTGTACCCCTTCAGGCTGTGCCAGAATCAGTTACTGCAGCTGCAATGCTGCAGAGAGTAACACATAGAAAATGTGTTTCAAAGTGACATCCATTAAGAGAGTACAAAGCCATTAATGCATTTCACTTCACATCTCCAACTAAACTTGCATTCTCACCAAAATCAACGGAAGAGTATTTTGGCACTTTTAAAACAGGCTGCAGTTGATTAACCAAGTGCCAATTTTGAAAATATGCAAGAAGTATTTATTGAGATACATACAAAAGGGAGCTACTCGTCAGAATTAATCACTCAAAAAAAAACAATAAGGTGTCATTTAGTGCTAAATAACCATATTCCTCACCCCATATTCTCCCTTTAACCCATCCTGTCAGGCTTCCCTTTCCACCATTCTAGTGAAACTGAAAACAGTGATCTCTACTGACTACTGGACCCCTCAGCAGTATCTGCAGTTAAACTCCCTCCTTGAGAACATTTTCTTCATTTGGCTTCCAGGAGAGTTTTCCTCCTCCTCAATTTCCTTTTCTGGACCATCCTACTTTGTTCTACCTTTATATGCTACCCAGAATTGCATTCTGTCCTGGGTTCCCTTTTTATCTCCACACATACCCTTTATGAGAGTCTCTGACTTTAAGCTCCCTAGTGCCATGCTGATGTTTCACAAATCTGTATTTTCCAGCACTGACTTCCCCCATTAGCTCCCCCCATTCCAATACTCAATTGTCCATTTGACATCTCCACTTATTTACCTTAAGTATTTCTCTTATAGTAAAATGGCTAAATTGAACTCTGAAATTTTAACAAACCTAAATTTGCCTTGTTTTCCCCATCTTGGAAAACACCAATCACATTATTGCTGAGAGCCCCAAATTCCAAAATCCTTCTTCTTTTCCTCATACGCCACAACAAATCCAGGAGCACTGTCTATCTTTATAAAACATATTCTGAATGATACTTCTTCTTTTATCACAACCACTTGGTCCATGGTATCATTGTGTCTTGCCTGAACTACTGCAAGTACACTGTAACTTGTGCTTGTTTCTACTCTTCTTCCATTATCATCAATTCTCTAGATAGTAGCCAGAATAATCATCTAAATATGTAAATCAGAGCATGTCAATCTCTCAGACAAAATCCTCCAATTCTTTCTTATCATACTCAAAAATCCAAAGACCTTACTGTGGCCTACTAGGCACTATTCGATCTGGCCTGGGGATATCTAACTTAATTTCTTACAATTCTTTCCAACAGGCTCATTCCAACTATGATATACCATTCCTCAAACATGCTAAGGCCATTCCCATTTCAAGGCCTTTGCTCTTGCTGTTCTCTTTACCCTCCCCACCACATCTGTAGGGATTACTTCTCTGTTCATTCAGGTCTCTATAAATGTCACTTTCTCAAAGATGCCTTTCTTTCACTCACTCTGAAACATTTCTGCTCTGACAATCTTAACACTACCCATTCCGTTACCACTTTGTATCCTCTTGTTGCTACCTGTAATTATAATTTCATTGTCTGTCTATCCCACCAGAATGCAAAAACTATGAAGGCAGGGACTTTAGCTTGATCACAACCTAAACGTTTGTTAAATAATTAATGTATTTAAAAGGATCTCATACTGCAAAGTGTTAGGCATTTCAAGTTTTGAAAGGGGGTAGATGTTTATAAATAAAATACAAATGGAAGCTACAAATTATCAACACAGCAGAATCCAATGCTAACTTTCCCCTTTGCAAAAACTCCACAAATTATAAAGGACAGACAACCAGCTCTCCAATTCCTTTCCTTGTTAGAGCCACCATCTAAGGAAATAGAGGACAGAAGCGCAGAAAGTAAAAATTTTCCTGAAATCAGATTTTTTCCCATCCTCATCTCAGAGACCTTCCTTCCTTCCCTCACCTAAGGGTTATTTTTGTGACTTGGAAAATTAAGTTCTAAAACTCTTGCCTAGTGCGCCTAACATATGTCTGCAGTCTGTGACCTTAAGAAATATATTCTGTAAATAATCAAATATACTTTCATATATGTATAAGGGAAAGATTTGATTAACACAAAGTAACAAGATATAGTACAATTTCACTGCCCAGTGCAAAGGCTGGGGGGCGGAATCAGGAAGTTACTTTTGTTAGTCTGATCTTCTAAGTCTTTCTCACACACTTGATAAAATGTAACATTATTACCATTTTATCATTTATCAATCCGTCACTAAGTCCTACCAATTCAACTTTTGGAATGGCTTTTATCTTCCTCTAATATTTTCCACGAGTGTCACTATAATACAGGAACAGTTTATAAACTGTTCTAGAAGTCATTTATCCTTCTCATAAGCTGTGTAACTTGTCTAAAACACAGACCTAATTTTATGATTTTAATGTTAAAACTTTCAACATTAAAAATTCCTTAGCACCTTCTTAAAACATAATATGTAAGTTTAAAAAATTGTTAGAGTCAGGGACATCTAACTGGCTTCTAAACAGGGGCTTTAAACAAATAAAGTACTGTGTAACAATGCCAGTTACTTTACATATATTATTTTAAATCCTCACAATCACAATTAGGTGGTTTCTTCCAACTTTCTTTTTTTTTTTTTTTACAGAGACTTAAAGATTAAGTGAATTGGTCAAAACTAGCTGGGTAAAAACAAGCTTGGGTAAGCAAACGAGCTCTGTTAAGTTTGACTCTGTCATATTTGCCTACCTTTTAGTACAACTTTTTTAGCCTGTCACGATGCATTCTATGCTCTGACTCAGATATTCTTAACCTAAAGCCCATGGAATTTTGGGTGAGTTTCAAACATTCTTGTGAATTCTGTGAAATTGTTAAAAGATTTTAAACAATGGAATTTAAATATAAATTAATATAAAATGAATATATGTCAAACATTTCAGTAATTAATCAAGGAACTAGTTAAGTATTACAAACTGGTTTGGGGAGGGTGCGCTTAGCTTGCTCAGTCAGTAGAACAGGAGACTCAATCCCAAGGTCATGAGTTCAAGGCCCATGTTGGATGTGAGGACTACTTAAAATAATAAATTTAAAAATATTATATTAAAAAAAAAAAAACTAGTTCAGGGGCACCTGGGTGGCTCAGTCATTGGGCGTCTGCCTTTGGCTCAGGTCATGATCCCAGCCTGCATCAGGCTCCCTGCTCCGCGGGAGGCCTGCCTCTCCCTCTCCACTCCCCATGCTTGCGTTCTGTATCTCGCTGTGTCTCTCTCTGTCAAATAAATCAATCTTAAAAAAAAAAACTACTTCAAAGGAGTATTAAAATATATAAACAATCAGAAACACTGAAAGGAATTTGTTCATAGATGCAAAAATGGTTAGGGCAATAATTGCAAAATTAATTGCAAGACTAATTTCCATTATTTTCTACAACTTCCATAAATGTAAAATAAAATAGCTCAATGACAATGAAAGAGATAACCTGGAAGAGTGAGCTAGACAAGATATCCAGTATTTCTTTTCTTGGCCATTTCAAGGTGTTTCACAATTTCCCAACAAAATTACACGTAAAATGTCTTGCCATGTGCATGCATCTTCCTGGGAAGCTCATCCACAGCCTTCATCGTTCTTAGAGGAAATGATGTGTCAAAAACGTTAAGTCATCGTTCTAGCCACGGCTGGCCATTCAAAGGCACCAGAACACCCTTGCCTGTGTGTCTTTGCTTTTTTGAATTAGTCTTGTCTTACTTGCCTTATAAACCCCTATCCAATTTTCAAGGCCCACGTTAAATGGCCTCTTACTCAATGTAGCTTTCTACTACCACGTCTCCCCTAATTTGTCTCCTTACCCATTTTCCCTCAAGCACATCTATTAGGGCGCTCCGTACCCTTCACTTGACACTTAAAATTTGTTAGCTCCCTTCCGTAACTGGATTTTCGGTTCTTTAATAAGAAAAACTAGAATCTTGAAAAAGAAAATGACTAACTTTAAAACAAGTCCTCACATTCGCTACTGTTTGGCCGCCAAGGCTCAGATCTAGGAAGTAAAGCATTTTACCCTTGGCTAAGGTCCACCTCGGCACCCGTCCCTTCCCAAGTACGCCGCCAAATGCCGGGCAGGCCCCCAGTCTCCCAAAGCCGGACAATACGCGCCCCCAACCTCTGAAAACTGGAACTACAAGGGCGCCCAAAGGACTTTTGCGCGTGCGCACAGAGAACTAGGACAAGCAAACTGATGGGTTTGTGGGAGGGGACGAAGTGAAAGGGACGACAGAAGATAGAATGGACTGCGTTAAAAAGGACTCAGAGGAAATGAAACCTCAGTCAACCTGAGCGACACTATCTACGGTCTACTTGGAACTTACTCCGTTCAATTCCCAAAACACTGGGCCGGTGATAGCGTCCTCCGACCTTTTCGTCTCCAGATCCTTATAGTCCTGGTTTCCGCGTCATAGGATGAGCGACACAGCTCTCCCGTAGGCCTTGGAAAAGACGAGCACGGGACGGTGCGTCCGTCGCTTACGTCACGGGCGTGGGCTGGCGCTGGGGGCGGGGCGTTGGATTACCCGGCTGGGCAAGGAGGCTCGCAGACGATGAAAAGTTTGATTGGCGGTTTGAAAACGCCGGTTGTGGTGGGCGGGCTGAGTATTGGGTCCTGATCTGGTGCGGTCCCAGTTTAATGACGTCACAGTCTTTCGCGGGAGAAATTCGAAAGTGGATTTTATGGACAGGTGAGGTCTGTTGTTTCCCCGGCGTGGGGATGTATAGGCAAAGGGATTTGAAGGAGAGGAGGCGTCGCAATTTAGGGCAGAGGGTTGAAAGACTATTCCGCCAGAAGCGGACCGTTGCTGGTGCTATATGGAACCAGGTTTGGACAGTTACACTCGCTTGCTCCGAATCTCTGTAAAATTGGTGCCTCGTCTTGACCGCTTTCCCCAGCCTCTGCTTTGCAGTTTCCGCATAAGTGTAAGGACCAGAGAAGGTTTTGGTGTTTCCATTTAGGACTGACAGAGGGTCAAGTCTCATTGCCATTTGGTTACACAGAGTCATGGTAATTATTATTTTGGCAAATGTTAGCTTCTCTTGGTTATTTGGACTGAATGGCTTCTTAACAGAATATTGAGTTCGAGATTCTGGAACTTTTAAATCTGTGAACCATTTAGGGATTCTAAAGGTCCTGCTTGTTCCAAAACAAAAAGACCAAAAACATCTTAAAAGGAAGAATGGCTCATGTTTTGTTGAGAACACTGATTTTTATATATGAATGTATAAAGCAGCGTAAGGACGTGTGGGAATATATATGGTTGGGGGGGTATGTGTGCATGTCTGTGGTTATATAACTACCACATCTGAGGTCTCCATACCGCTTTAAAAACTTTGTAAATTAAACTTCCGCCCGTTAGAGGTGGGTGAACACTTGATGTGGCTAGGTGAAGACTTTCAGAAATTTTTTTTATATTTGCACTTCACTTAAATATGTCATTTGTTAGCTAATACCATTTTCCTATTTAATGGTAAAATAGGACTATTGACTCTCCTTCGAATGTAGGAATTTAGACCTCTTCTAAATATTTTTAAATAAAGCTAGCCTTTTTTTTTTAGCTAGTCTTTGTTTTATTATAATCTAATTTACCACTTATGAGGATATGGATCTTCACAATTCCTTTTAAATTGTAAGCCCTGCAAGTAATATCTCTAATTTAGGAAAACAATGGGGAATTTATCTTGCAGTTCCTAAATAGAATATAAGTAATCTTAAATTAGTAAATACTGGATTAGTAATCTGTATGTTGTGATAATATCTACTCTTCAGGATTCTGAGATTGACAAATATTATATATAAGTAACATATATAATACAAAGTAGTCCAAAAATTTGCCTGACATACTAGGTATTCAATAGTCATGTCATATTTGTGAGTATGAGCACCAGAATTTAGATACTTAGTTTTTAAAATTTCTTCTTTTTTTTTTTTTAAGTAAACTTTATGCCCTACATGGGGCTTGAACTCATGACCGGGAGATCAAGAGTTGCATGCTCTACAGACTGAGCCAGCTAGGGACCTCTTGACTACTTAGTTTTGAATTCTGAATCTGCCATTTATTTGTTTTGTGATCTTGAGCAGATTACATACTATTATGTACCTTAGTTTCCTTTTTTGTAAAATAAATGTAAAAAATAGTATCTATACCATAAGGTTGTGAGCATTTAAAGCATGTTAGGTGTCTAGCATAAAATTACACTGAATAAATGATAGCTGTTATTAAAGAGATCTCATATCCATAACTGCCACATGGTAAACACTGTGCCTACACCATGTAGTCTCATACAGATGTAAAATGTCCGACACATTCAGTGTTGGGAGCAAGTTGCTCTCAAAGTAGTAGTGAATGACGTGTTTCTCTGGACCTCTGTTATCTTCTTGGCATTCATTAGGCATTTAGCAATTCCTTTGGGCTTGAGGGGAGGGATATGGGATATGGGAGTTTTATAGCTGGAAGGCAGTGCCTCTGTAGGCCTGTGTCCTGTCTGGGAACTATGGTATGGGGCAAGTATTCATATCTCATTTGCCTAATCCCTTATCTCTCCTATTTTAGCAGCCAGTGCAGTCTTTGTAAAATCCAAGTCAGATTATGTAATCTTATTCTTAAAACCCTACCGTTCGTACTGCCTTTATAGAATAAAGTTCAAAGAACTCAGCATAGCATAGAAAGCCCTCTGACTCCTATTATTGCTCATTTTCAGTCTTCTCTCTCACTATTCACTATCTTACATTGACCCCTTAATTGTACTGAGTTCCTTGGTCATGCCTTGCTCTGTCTTTCATAGGCCCTTGTATATATTGATTCCTTTTTGGAAATACATTCCTGGCATTTTCTTTCGGTTATAGTTATTTTAGCTTGCAGCTTAGACATTATGTTCTTCAGGAAGCCTTATTTGATGCCATAGACCCAGTTGGGTCCCTTCCTGTGCTTATTTCTGTCATGTTTTATTGTAATTACTGTTTATCAGCCTGTTATACTGGAAAGTCCCTGATTAAAAATAGTATTTGTTTATTTTAGTACTTCAACCTAGCAGTGTCTGGCAAATGCTAAAGGAAGTACTAAATAAATACATGTAATTTATAAATAATATGTATGTGGTATATCTTGTATGTATGAAGGGGGAATTGAATCCAGAATTTCAAATTATAGTTTTATTGAATCATCCTAGGTCTTTTAGCCCTGTGTTCTCAAACTTGAGCATGTATCACTATCACCTGCAGGACATGTTAAAACGAAGTACTGGGTCCAACCTCAGACTTTCTGATTTAAAAGGTCAGGGGCAGGACCCAAGAACTTGAATTTCTAACTAGTTACCAGTTGATGTTGATGCTGTTGGTCCAGGGATCATATCTTTGGGACCACTGCTTTAGAAAAAAAAAATTTTTTTTTTGGCATCTCCATTTACTTCTTCAGTTCACCATCAGTAATTTTTGACTTCCAAATTTGCCCACAATAACAATTTTATCCAGTAGCATAGGATAAATACAGTACTCATTGCAGTGATATTGAAAAGATTATTCCTTGCAGAGGAAATTTGTGTATTAGATCCTGGATACTATGATATAAAAGGAAAAATTCAAAACGCAAGGGGGCCATCTTGTGGTGGCCATAGCAATTCAGAAAATGGAAAATAGAAGCTCTTTCCATAAGGAACTCAAATGTTGGGGGAAGAGGGATGGTTTTCTGATACATGTTATGGCATTTGGAAAAAAGCTTAGCACACTACTAATTATTTTATACATTTTATTTAGATTTCTCTTTACTTGGCAAACTCTTTTTCCACCGGGTGGGGTCCCTCTTTTATTTTGTACTTAGTATCAGATAATTTGATTACACCTGGGTTTCCCTTGGTAATCACATAGTCTTAGAACTCTTAGATTCCTCTATCCTGTCAAGAGTTTGTGGGAAACAGTCGTATTTGATATTCTTTTCATCAGGGTTGAATATTCTTTGTCTATTTTTATTTTAGGTTGTATAAATAATTGAATAACCACCATTATTTTCTGGACCTGACTGGTTTATAATTTCAGAAGAAATAATGGAAAGCCAGGAATTTATTGTGAGTCTAACAGTTTTCTCTATTTCCTTTTTTCTTTTTTTTAAATCCTCTATTTTTAAATTTTTTTAAGATTTTATTTTTAAGTAATCTCTATACCCAGTGTAGGACTTGAACTCACAACCCTGAGATCAAGAGTTACATACTCCATTGACTGAGCCAGCCAGGCAGGCTTCCCATTATTTCCTTTTTTATTTCTTCCTTCTACATTTCACAGATATCTTGCTGGGGTTGACACATTTAACAAAAAACAAAAAAAACCCAAAACTAAAGCAGGACACTTAGGTAAATTTGAGTATCAGATAAACAGTAATTTTTTTGGTATAAGTATGTATGTCTCAAATATTGCCCTGTATTTTTTTTTACAGATTTTATTTATTTATTTGACAGAGAGAGAGTGAGAGACACAGCAAGAGAGGGAACACAAGCAGAGGGAGTGGGAGAGGGAGAAACAGGCTTCCCGCCAAGCGGGGAGCCCGATGCGGGGCTTGATCCCAGGACCCTGGGATTATGACCTGAGCCGAAGGCAGACGCCCAACCAACTGAGCCACCCAGGTGCCCTGCCCTGTATTTTTCTGGCAACTTTATCTCTTGCCTACTACTCATGTTAGTTATACAAAATCCTTTGGAACAAACCCTTTGTAAGCTCTTTGTTAGGATCAGGAAATAATTTCTTTTGAAGAATTGCCATGCCTCTTCTATCTAGATCAGTGATTCTTAAACTGTTTGGTTTTAGGATGCTTTTATACTCTTAGAAATTATTGAGGAGCCCAGAGAATTTCTGATAATGGGGCTTATATTTATTGATGTCTTTCAGAAATTTAAAAAATATTTATTAATTCATTTAAAAAACCCATTACATTGAACATAAATTACTTTTTAAAAATGGAAATAGCTGTATTTTCCAAAACAACAACAGGAAAAAACCACATTGAAAAAAGTAGCATTGCTATAGACATTTTTTTGCAAATCCCCTTACCATTTGATTTAATAGACAACTAGATTCTCAGATCTGCCTCTGCATTTAGTCTGAAATTGAATCTTGCAACACTGCACATACATAACCCTGGCAGACCACTATGCATGCCGGAAGAAATGAGAGTGAAAAGACAAATAACATCATGAAAATGGTTTTGACCCCAAGACTCCTGAAAAAGTCTTGGGAACCTCTAGGAGTCTGGACTACATTTTGAGCTCAGATGATGACTTCTATATAACCCAACAAATTTTTTCCTTCCCACTGATGACTGAGAAGCTCAAAATGATTTTTGTTGTTCAATTAAGTTTTCACTTTTCTCCTTAGATTTTACCTCTCCTTTCTCCCCTGCCGTGCCTTTTACTACTGAGTTCCTTTTTTAAAAATTTATGTTTTGTTATTTATTTAATGTAAGCTCTATGCCCAACATGGAGCTTGAACTCAAAACCCTGAGATCAGGAGTCACATGCTCTACCAACTGAGTCATCCAGGGACCTTGATATTTTATTGTTATTGTTATGTTATCTTTTATTTTATTAAAAGATGTCTAAATATTTTTTTATATAGGAAGGGTATAAGAATATGCAACATTTAATACATGTAAGTAGAAACCATTTCTTTTGTACTTTTGGAAATAAGGTACTGTATACTCATCAAAAGATGAAGAAGTCAAAAGTGTGGCAAGATGGAATTCTGAAGATCACTCATTTAGGAAACAAAGTAAGTACAAGAAAATTGACTATGGCGTCCAAAAGCTAGATTCTTGCCTTTTGATTGAATATTAAGAAGACTCTGTAGATGATAAAATGTTGGATATGTTCCTAAGCTGATATAGTTGTCAGCTTATAAAAGTTGTCAAATGATTGTCACGTTACAGTGATTAATTTGTATGTTTTAAAAGTTCAGTAAATATTATTTAATTTGTTTTGATTTTTAAAATTTGAATTAGGTTTTCTGTAAAACTTTTTATTTTGGCACATTTTTTCTTTACAGGCAATGAGAGTTTAATGATACAAAAAAACTGTATTAAAATATATTTCTAACACCATAATGCTCACAGTGGAATGGTACATACAGAGTTGACACACCATTTTAGGAAAGCTGCCAATGTCTAAAATTATGTATAGAGTTCTTCTATTTTCAGGTTTTCTTTGAATCATTTACTTTGGTTATGATATGATCCTGTCTTTTTGGGGGGGAAGGGGTTTTGTTTTTTTTGTTTTTTTTTTAGATTTTATTTATTTGAGAGAGAGAGAGAGCATGAGCTGGGGGAGGGACAGAGGGAGAGAGAGAAGCAGGCTCCCCGCTGAGCACAGAACCCGACACGGGACTTGATCCCAGGACCCCAAGATCATGACCCGAACCAAAGTCAGGTGCTTGACCAACTGAGCCACCCAGGCCCTCTGATCCTAACGGTCTTGAGAGAATTATTTACTGGGTGATCTTTCACTTTACTAGATATGCTGATCCTTCTCTATGGTTTCTTTTTTCACCCCAAGTATCTGCATCTGCTGAATTGTAATTTTCTCATACCAGTTCTCATGACCTTATGCAACAGCCTTGGCTCCTCCATTCTTCATAACAACTCTTCGTTTGACTTCTGTGACACCACACTTTCCTGAGGTTGCTTATTGACATCTAAGTATTTTCTGTGGGCTCATTCTCTTCTCAAACATTAAAGTTTTCCTTAGAACTCAGTTGTGTATGTACTTACACAGAAATATATAAAGATATATAAATCTTTCTCTTTAATCTGTCTTTTTTTTAAAAAAAGTTTTTTTTATTTATTTTGAGAGAGTGAGAGAGAGCACGAGGTTGGGGGGTAGAGGGAGAGAGAGAAGCAGGCTCCCAACTGAGCAAGGAGCCCAATGTGGGCCTCCATCCAGGACCCTGGGATCATGACCTGAGCCAAAGGCAGACGCTTAACTGACTGAGCCATCCAGATGCCCGAGTCTCTGTCTATGTATATATATGTATATGGAGAGAGAGAAAAAGAAGTGATTTATTCTAGGGAATTGAATCATGTGATTGTGGAGGCTGTTAAGTGCCAAGATCTGTAGTTGGTAAGATGAAGACTCAACAAAGCCAATTGTATAGTTTCAGTATAAATGATGGGAGGTTTGAGATTCAGGAAGAGCTGGTGTTTCAGTTTGAGTCAAAAGGCAGGAGAGCACTCATGTCCCAGCTCAGAGACAGTCAGGCAGGAGGAGTTTTCTCTTACTCAGTCTTTCTGTTCTCTTCAGTCCTTCCACTGATTGGATAGGGCCCACCCAGTTAGGGAGAGCTCTGTTTGCTTATTGTTTTTATTGAGGTATAACTGACATTTAACATAATACTAGTTTTAAGTATACAGCATAATAATTTGATATTTGTATGCATTGCAAAATGATGATAATAAGTATAGTTACCATCTGTCACCATAGTTAAAATGATTTTTTCCTTTTATTTTTTGTGATGAGGACTTTCAAGATTTACTCTTAGCAACTTTTAAATATGCAATACAGTGTTATTAATTATGGTCATCATAATTAAAAAAATGGTCATTTTTTTTTTTTTAAAGATTTTATTTATTTATTTGACGGAGAAAGACACAGCGAGAGAGGGAACACAAGCAGGGGGAGTGGGAGAGGGAGAAGCAGGCTTCCTGCAGAGCAGGGAGCCCCATGCGGGGCTCGATCCCATGACCCTGGGATCATGACCTGAGCCGAAGGCAGACGCTTAATGACTGAGCCACCCAGGCGCCCTAATGGTCATTTTTTTTTTAAGATTTTATTTCTTTATTTGACAGAGAGAGAGACAGCGAGAGAGGGAAGACAAGCAAGGGAGTGGGAGAGGGAGAAGCAGGCTTCCTGCTGAGCAGAGAGCCCGATGTGAGGCTCGATCCCAGGACACTGGGATCATGACCCGAGCCAAAGGCAGATGCTTAACGACTGAGCCACCCAGGCGCCCTGCTGTACATTATTTTATAACTAGAGTTTTGAATCTTGACTCCCTTCATCCATTTAGCAACCCCCCTGTTACCCTCCCCCAAATGGATTTTTTTTTTTTAAAGATTTTATTTATTTGACAGAGAGAGAGAGAGAACAAGCAGGGGGAGCAGCACAGGGAGAGGGAGAAGCAGGCTCCCTGCCGAGCAGGGAGCCCGATACAGGGCTCCATCCCAGGACCCTGGGATCATGACCTGAGCCAAAAGCAGACGCTTAACTGATTGAGCCACCCAGTTGCCCCTCCCCCAAATGGATTTTTAAAAAAACTTATATTGTCATGTGCCAGGCATGCTTTTAATGTGTCAAGTTACTTAGTCTACATAACTCCCCTTTTAGAGTACTGTTTTTCTCTGTATTTTACTGAGGTTGAAACTGAGACACAGAGAGATAAAGTAGCTTGTCCCCAGATCTCACAGCTAGAGAGTGGAGGAGTCATATGCGACACTAGGCTTTTTGGCTCCAGAGCCCATATCCTAAGCAGTCTATTGTCTCTCTTAATACTACAAATTTAGGGCACCTGGGTGGCTCAGTCGGTTAAGCGACTGCCTTCGGCTCAGGTCATGATCCTGGAGTCCCGGGATCCGGTCCCGCATCGGGCTCCCTGCTCGGCGGGGAGTCTGCTTCTCCCTCTGACCCTCCCCCCTCTCATGTGCTCTATCTCTCTCATTCTCTCTCTCAAATAAATAAATAAAATCTTTAAAAAAAAAATACTACAAATTTAAAAGAACAACTTTATTACATTTACAGATCTCCCTGTTTTGTTTTTTTTAATTTATTTGATTTAAATTCAATTAATTAACATATAGTATATTATTAGTTTCAGAGGTAGAGTTCAGTGATTCATCAGTTACATATAACATCCAGTGCTCATTACATCACGTGCCCTCCTTAATGTCCATCACCCAGTTACCCCATCCCCCCCCCCGCCTCCCCTCCAGCAACCCTCAGTTTGTTTCCTATAGTTAAGAGTCTTTTGGGGTGCGTGGATGGCCTAGGATGGCTTAGGATGGCACCTGCCTTCGGCTCAGGTCATGATCCCAGCATCCTGGGATTGAGCCCTGTTTCGGGCTCCTTGCTCAGCAGTCTGCTTCTCAGTCTCCCTCTGCTGTTCACCCTGCTTGTGCTCTCATTTTCTCTGTCAAATAAATGAATACAATCTTAAAAAAAAAAGTCTCTTATGGTTTGTCTCCCTCTCTGATTTCGTCTTATTTTATTTTTCCCTCCCTTGCCCTTTGATCCTCTGTTTTGTTTCTTAAATTCCACATATGAGTGAAATCATATAATTGTCTTTCTCTGATTGACTTATTCCATATTCTGTTCTTACTCCACATATCTATCATTGTGAAGTTATCAGTAAGACAAGCTTCTCAATGTAAAGGCTACTTATTATTATTAGTGAATTAACAATTAAAACAGAAAATTAAAAGAAAAACTAGTTTTGCTTTAAGCCTTCAAGTTCAATTTACAAATCCTATTAACTTTAGTTTAACTTTCAGTGGGTTTAATGTTCAGTCAACTTAAGTTGCACAAGCTAAATACTTTTTTTTTTAAGATTTTATTTGAGAGCGAGAGCGCAGAGCAAAAGAGAGAGTACAAGTTGGGGGGCAGAGGGAGAGGGAGAAGCAGGATCCCTGCTGATGTGGGGCTCAGTCTCAAGACCCTGGGATCATGACCTGAGCTGAAGGCAGACACTTAACCGACTGTGCCACCCATGTGCCCTACTAGGTATATTTTTTTAATGATTTTATTTTATTATTATTATTTTTGAAAGAGAGAGTGTGTGTGAGCACTAGTGGGCAGAGGGAGAGGGAGAGAGAATCCCAAGTAGGCTCCACACCCAGTGAAGAGCTTGATGCAGGGCCCCATCTCACGACCCTGAGATCATGACTCTGAGATCACAACCCCAGCCGAAACCAAGAGTCAGGCGTTCAACCGATTGAGCCATCCAGTTGCCCCAAACTAGATACTTTTAATAATCCGTCTGTCAACAAACATAAAATTTTAAATATTTTAAATATTTTAAATTTACAAATTTATTTGATTTTTTTTTTTTAAGATTTTTTTTTTTTAAGTAATCTTCACTCACAACATGGGGCTTGAACACACAAACCTGAGATCAAGAGTCAAATGCTCCTACCAAGCCAGCCAGGTGGGGAGCCTGGGTGGCTCAGTTGGTTGAGCAACTGCCTTCAGCTCAGGTCATGATACTGGAGTCCTGGGATCAAGTCCCACATCAGGCTGTCTGCTCAGCGGGGAGTCTGTTTCTCCCTCTGACCCTCCCCCTTCTCGTACTCTCTTTCTCTCTCTCTCTCTCAAATAAATAAATAAAATCTTAAAAAAAAAAAGCCAGCCAGGTACCACCCCACCCTCTCTTTTTTTTTTTTTTTTTTTTTAAAGATTTTATTTATTTTTATTTGAGAGAGAGAGAATGAGAGAGAGAGAGAGAGCATGAGAGGGGGGAGGGTCAGAGGGAGAAGCAGACTCAGCAGGGAGCCCGATGCGGGACTCGATCCCAGGACTCCAGGATCATGACCTGAGCTGAAGGCAGTCGCTTAACCGACTGAGCCACCCAGGCGCCCCCCACCCTCTCTTTTTAAAGTAATCTTTACATCCAAGGTGGGGCTTGAACTCACAACTCCAAAGTCAAGAGTGGAATGCTGTATTGACTGAGCCAGCCAGCTGCCCCTAAGTTTCTTTCTTTAGCATTTTAGTTGCCCTAACAAACAAAAACCT